GCCAAACGAACCGGCCTTTCTCGCCGCAAGGGGGACTAATGAACAGGGCCCGCCGTCCGCGCTGCAACTCCAACTTCGTCCGAAGCGCAACTGCAACTGATTTCTGTCGGTTGGGGTCCTGCTTTTATTGAGGCAGTCAAAAACTGGGGTGGTTCTGTCGGCGTCAGGGTTTTCTTGATAATTCTAAAGACGTATTATTTCTGATTAGGGATTTTTCCATTATCGGTAACTTACTTTCCTCCTACTTCCTTACTGTGCCTCTGGGGGAGGCGTATACCCGCTTCCCCTGGTCCCTCGTATGTCAGGTGACCGCTCTCGACCAATGGGGTCCTGGTCGGGCATCTTTCCTCCTCCCTCGCACATCATGTGACCGCTCTCGGCCAATGAGAGTCTGGTCGGGTGTCTCTCCTCCTCCCTCATGTATCATGTGACTGTCCTCGGCTAATGAGACTCTGGTCGGTATCTTTCCTCCTTCCTTCGTGACGTCTCTAATCGGGCGTGTACAATCCGTGGCTTTGTTCTGGGGGAAGAAACACCTTGCTTAAAAAAAACAAAATTTAAATTTGCCCTTTTCGTATGTGATCGAATGACGCAATCGGTTTCTTTTACACGTGCTATCTGTCAAAACAGCCTATCGCTAATTGGATGCGATCTAAGAAAGGAATTCTCCTAGACTGCGTGGAGTTCTCGCGAGCTAATACAAATATTTCACCTTTTTCTTTCGCTCGGAGCTTGTTAACAAAAATCTTAATTATCTCAAAAAAACATTTTCTACATCACCTTGTGTGGCCCTCCGTTCAATTCTGGTATGGTCTGGGTTCTTGTATTAATGCTTTGTTTTCATATACACTTCCCCATCTGTTACCTATCATCTCAATGACATCCTTTTTATTTGTTACTTATCAATATTTTTTTTTTCCATTGCCCCTAAAATTTTATTCTTCGGCGAAATTGATAACAAACTCCCATCCTCCGCGGACACGAAAGTAGGTCAGTGCTTGACCTGATATTTTTGACATCTGACATGTGCCAGTCGAGCGTGTGTGTTTTCGCTTACGACCTGGTTTCGTATTATATTTTTTTTTCTTTCTTTTTTTTTTTTTTTTCATTGTCTCTAAACTCTATTTCTTCAACCAAATATAACAAACTTCCATTTTTTCGTGGATTTCGGTCAGGTACTTTGACCTGGATATCTTTTGACACCTGTTATGTGTCAGCTGAGCGTGTGTGCTTATGACCGGGTTTTGTACCATCTATTTCTCTTTTTTTTTCTGCCTCCTCTTTTCTTTCTTTCCCTCAGATCGCCTAAACGCAATTAGAGAATTATTCTCAACTCCGAAATATTCTTCATCTCTAAATAAATATCAAATGGTTAACAAACCGAAAAAAAAAAATCATATATTTATGAATATCTCTTTTCAGTTTTCTAATTACGCATGGTGCCACACTAAAGACATTTGCTACAACACGACGAAGCACCCCTTCACTTCGTAGACATTTGTTACAACATGACGAAGTGGACCCTTCACTTCGGAGAGCCTAAAGACATTTGATAAACACGACGAAGCAGCCCCTTCACTTCGTAGACATTTGATACAACATGACGAAGCGGACCCTTCATTCGGAGAGCCTAAAGACATTTGCTACAACACGACGAAGCACCCCTTCACTTCGTAGACATTTGTTACAACATGACGAAGCGGACCCTTCACTTCGGAGAGCCTAAAGACATTTGATAAACACGACGAAGCACCCCTTCACTTCGTAGAAATTTGTTACAACATGACGAAGCGGACCCTTCACTTCAGAGCCTAAAGACATTTGATAAACACGACGAAGCACCCTTCACTTCGTAGACATTTGTTACAACATGACGAAGCGGACCCTTCACTTCGGAGAGCCTAAAGACATTTGATAAACACGACGAAGCAGCCCCTTCACTTCGTAGACATTTGATACAACATGACGAACGGACCCTTCACTTCGGAGAGCCTAAAGACATTTGATACAACACGACGAAGCAGCCCCTTCGCTTCGTAGACATTTGATACAACCCGACGAAGCGGACCCTTCACTTCGGAGAGCCTAAAGACATTTGCTACAACACGGCGAATCAGCCCCTTCACTTCGTAGACATTTGTTTACAACATACAACCCCTTCACTTCGAGCCTAAAGACATTTGATAAACACGGACCCCTTCACTTCGTAGAAATTTGTTACAACATGACGAAGACCCTTCACTTCAAGAGCCTAAAGACATTTGCTACAACGGCGAATCAGCCCCTTCACTTCGTAGACATTTGTTACAACATGACGAAGCGGACCCTTCACTTCGGAGAGCCTAAAGACATTTGATAAACACGACGAAGCACCCCTTCACTTCGTAGAAATTTGTTACAACATGACGAAGCGGACCCTTCACTTCGGAGAGCCTAAAGACATTTGCTACAACACGACGAAGCAACCCTTCACTTCGTAGAAATTTGTTACAACATGACGAAGCGGACCCTTCACTTCGGACCTAAAGACATTTGATAAACACGACGAAGCACCCCTTCACTGCGTAGAAATTTGTTACAACATGACGAAGCGGACCCTTCACTTCGGAGAGCCTAAAGACATTTGCTACAACACGACGAAGCACCCCTTCACTTCGTAGACATTTGTTACAACATGACGAAGCGGACCCTTCAGAGCCTAAAGACTTTGATAAAAACGGCGAAGCCCCTTCAAGAAATTTGTTACAACACGACGAAGCGGACCCTTCACTTCGCCCTAAAGACATTTGCTACAACACGACGAAGCGCCCCTTCACTTCGTAGACATTTGTTTTAAACATGACGAAGCGGACCCTTCACTTCGGAGAGCCTAAAGACATTTGATAAACACGACGAAGCAGCCCCTTCACTTCGTAGACATTTGATACAACATGACGAAGCGGACCCTTCACTTTGGAGATTCTAAAGACATTTGCTACAACATGACGAAGGAGCCCCTTCACTTCGTAGACATTTGATACAATATGACGAAGCGGACCCTTCACTTCGGAGAGCCTAAAGACATTTGATAAACACGACGAAGGAGCCCCTTCACTTCGTAGACATTTGATACACATGACGAAGCGGCCCCTTCACCTCGGAGAGTCTAAAGACATTTGATACAACAAACACAACTGCACAAGAAATAGCTCTACTGAGTAAATTCCTCTATCTGCTTCCGTATTGTTATCCATGATAAACAGATCGATTATCGACGTCAAAAATTTCCGTCGAGGCGTTTACTTCACATTAATACGCTTGGCAAAAGCATGAATCAATCTCTTCCCTTGATTCCAAGCTATGGGCACTCTAGCCTTGATATTAAAGAAACTATATATATTTGGACGATTGAGATGACCATGGAGAATGAACAGTGCTCTCACACACAAACAAGAGAGATGTTTCGACTTGAAGGCACATTGTATATCAGAATGATATCTCATCTTCAGTATGGCTGTTCGCTTTCAAGTACCCCTGTCTGCTTAGGCCTATGTGTGTTTCTTCAACACCCACAGAACTAACCTGTGTTTTTTAATGCCACTATACTGAACAGATCTTAGTTACCGTTCAAGTATGTGCCCTGTACAGATTTCAGTTCAGAGTTGAGCTTCTCCTATTCTGGCTGCCAACCAGGGCTAGAGAGTCAAATAAAAGTCTGACCGTTTTCCTCTTCTCACTTTTCTCACGATTCTTGGTTTGAAATAAGGGGTTTTCTTTGCTGTAGAAAATACAGGTTTTTTCTTTGTTGTGGAAAATAAGGGTTTTTTAGTTGGTGCGTTAAATAAGGGGTTTCATTTTGCTGCAACAAATAAGAGGTGTTCCTTTGCTGTAGAAAATAAGATTTTTACCTTTGCTGTGGAAAATAAAGGGTTATTCTTTGCTGCGGAAATATATGGGATTTTCCTTTCATTCCGTAAATAAGGGGTTTTCTTTTGCTGTAGAAAATAAGGGTTTTTCCTTTGAAGCGGAATTTTATTTTGTTTGCAGAAAATAAGGGGCTTTCTTGTGCTTTGGAAAAATAAAGAGTTTTCCTGTAGAAAACAGTGTTTTTTCTTTGCTGTAGAAAATAAAGGTTTTTTCTTTTCTGCGGAAAAATAGCGGTATTCCTTTGCTGCTCTAAAATTAAGGGATTTTCATTCGCTGTGGAAAACAAGGGTTTTATCTTTGCTGCGGAAAATATTTCTGGATTGTTCCATGCCTCTTCTAGATGTCTCCGTTACCTTCAATTAACCCTGTTCACCAAGTCATTTTATGAGTTCAATACCTGTGGTGAACAAAAGTTGGAGAGATGAGTAAAAGGAAGATAACTGAGACACCCGGAGAAGGCATGGCTCATAGAACTAGAACAATCTACCCCGGTGGACGAAATAAAATGTTCACGTCGAAATTTCAATCACCTGAAGAAAGCTGGAGTGTACAATGGCTGAAACGTCGTGAATATGACAACAAAGATAAGGACAACTGTCCGAACAATGTAAATAGCGTAAATAATAAAAATACCTTATCTCAGAAATATAGACAGATGTTGAAAGTGAATATTGCAATAAAGATGATGACAACAGTCCGAACAAATAGTGTAAATAATTACAATACCTCATCTCATGAATATAGACAGATGTTATATTTTTACCTCTCGTTTCTTTTTCCATTTGCTGGGTTAATAATAAATGAATGAATAAATAACATGTTATCCAAGTTTCGATCTCATACTTTGCGCAAACGGGTATTTCCACTAGTATGGAATTAAACAGTCCAGGCAGACAGCAGGACAATATATTTAGTGGACTTAACCCATTTTTCCCAAACGCGGACATGACCCATTCTTGTTGTTATGTCTCGACGTCGCGACAATGGTCCTGAAATGACATTTTCCCTGTGAATAGTAAAACACAACGAAATTTTTGATGATAATTAAAGATAAACATTTAAAAATCGACGCATTTTCCTACCTTGTTTTGCAGGCAGTGGTATAGGCCGGCGTTTGGCCATCAAATTTGCTGAACTAGGTTGCAAGATGGTTTTATGGGATATCAACAGTGAACTCAATGAAGAGACAGCCGCCATCATACGTCAGAAGGGAGGCATTGTTCACACGTTTGTTTGTGACGTCAGTAACAGAAACGGAATCTACAGAACAGCAGATAAAGTAAGTAGACAGACGGTGTCGTTTCTTTGAAATACAAACAACTTTGAGGCGATATTTTTCATTGGCCATCATGTTTATATTTGTCTTTTTTAAAAATAAGTAACCACATTTTTCTTTTGTTGAAGCCGTTGAAAGAACCATGTAATTTCTTTATTTTTTAAATATTTTTTTTTAGATCTTTCGATGTTTTAGATCTTTCGATGTTTTAGATCTTTCTTTTGATCTTTTTGATTTTTTTTTACAACTTTTTGACCTTTTTCAGATCTTAGATTTTCTTACGACCCTTTTCGATCTATTTTCGATCTTTTTTTTAATAGATATTTTCGATTATTTTTAGTTTTTTTAGAACATTTGGAACTTTTTTAGATCTTTTTTTATCTGTTTCCTAGATCTTTTAGATATTTTTGTTATCTTTATACTTTTTTAGATCTTTTCAATCTTTTTAGATCTTTTTTTTTTAGATCTATTCGAACTTTTTTTTAGATCTTTTCGATAATTTTGTTTATATCTGGTTTTTAGATCTTTTGTTATCTTTATATTTTTAGATCTTTTAGATCATTTTAAACTTTCGATCATTTTTAGATCTTTTTAGATCTTTTCGAACATTTTTTTTAGATCTTTTCGAACTCTTTTTTAGATCTTTTCGATCTTTTTATCTTTATATTTTATTTTTAGATCTTTTCGATCATTCGATCATTTTTAGATCTTTTCGATCATTTTATTAAAAATCTTTTAGATCTTTTCGATCTTTTCGTTATCTTTATATTTTTAGATCTTTTCGATCGATTTAGAAATTTTTTGCTCTTTTCTAATTTTTCGCTCTCTTTTTAACCCTTTCCAAATTTTTCTTAGATTTTTTAAATATCTTTTTTTTTCAGCTCTTTTAAATAACGGATATTTTCTGGTGATGAAAAATTCAAACATTTTTAAATTTGATAAAAACATTCGTTTTTAATATAGTAACTACGAAACTGAGGTACCTTGAAGTACCCCAGCGATAGCGAACACCTCTGCTAGACGTCTGAATTGACAGCTGAACACGTTTCAAGCTGAGAAGGGCATAAAAAGAATCAAGATCGACGTATAAACACGTCTGTAGCTTGGTTTTGAACGTAATGTTTTGGACGTGTTTATTTGTCCGTGTCTGAAAAATCACTTTCGGTAAAAAGGTATATACATGTATATACACGGGGAAGAGGTTAATGATTTTATAATTAATTCATTTACACCCTACGAGGACGTCCACCTAAAAAGAATTTAGTCATTTGGTCATATTTTGGTAAGTGGGTCGAACAGTGAACTTTTCAGCTTGCCCTCGAAGGATACTTCACTGTGGTCCTATAGAAAACACGTAAGTTACGCAAACTATTATTTTTGTAGATAATTTTATTCTCATTCGGTATTATCGCATATATACCAGATTAAGTTAAACTTAAGTAGCTATATTTATGGGTGCCTACTGTAGTGAAGTGGTTAAGAAACTTTCTTCACAGATAATTAGGAATGTGGCGAATTTGATTTTCGCGAGGAGGCGTTAAATTTATTAAAAAAATAAAGAAAGTCGACGTTTGAGCTGTGATTAGCCAATTTATCCCACAAGTTATTATTGTTGTAAGAAGTTAATTTATCATTGGGTGGCCAATTCCTATGGCCTTGTACCAGACTTAGCTTAACTAATTTTTGTTTGAATTTCTGGAATGAGAAATAATAATTTACTTTATTTACATTAAAACTTATTGTCCTCATCAGCAGCCGTAAGAAGAAAAGAAACTTCAGTGAATGCAGTCAATCGTGACAATGAACAACAATGCCAACAGTTAGTTTTAAGGATACACGTTCTAGACTTAGGATTGTCCCACGCCTAGTGGATTAAAGTGCACTTTCTTGAAATTGGTGACATAGCAATTTTGAGTACAATGCCTGGGCCGGGTAATATAGATTTAAATTGAGTGGAAACATGGTGAGTAACAATCAAGTAGTATTAAATCCCAACTAGGCATTTATGTCTTAGTAGCAGATACGACAGATCTGTCAAAATAAACCTGGCGGCTGGTCTTGAAAAGGATCACAATTAGTGCTTAACTGGGGCAAGAAATGGCTTGTAAATTTTAACGCCCCCCAAAAAACTACTTTCATTTAATAACCACAGAGAAAATTTACTGTCTGCCATCAGCATGGCTGATGATAAACTCCATAAGAGCCTCATTCTACGTCTTCTTTTCCTCAAGTTCTCTAATGACACGAAGCGGGTACATTGAATCAATTTCCACGTTTACTGCTATCCTCTTCCGCCTCCCCTCCTATCCTCTTCCGTCTCACCTGCGATCTTCTTCAGCCTCCCCTGCTATCCTCTTCCGCCTCACTTGATATCCTTTTCCGCCTCCCCTGCTATCCTCTTCTTCCTCACTTGCTATCCTCTTCCGCCTCATCTACTATCCTCTTCCGCCTCACCTGCTATCTTCTGTCGCCTCCCCTTGCTATACTCTTCTGCCTCACTTTCTATCTTCTTCCCTCTCACTTGCTATCCTCTTCTGCCTCACTTGCTATCCTCTACCGCTTCACCTAGTATCCTCTTCCGCCTCACCGGCTATCCTCTTCCGCCTCACCTGCTATCCTCTTCCGACGTACTCATAAGGCGCGTTGCAACGTTTGAGAACCACTAACTTCAATTAAAGTTCGAGTGAAAACAAGCATCACTTTCTCTCCTTTTTTCGAACTTGTTCTGTATTTTGTAGATGTTTTGTTACAAATAAATATTTATTCCCCAGATTGAAACCAATTTTTTTCAATCTATTTAGCTTACTTAATATTACGTTGTGTTCGTAGACTGAACAAACGATCTGAAGCCTGTGAATGAAAATGGAAAAATAATGAGATAAAAAAAACGAATCAATAATCGAGATTTTGCTCAGACATCATTAATTTCAGAATCATTTAAGTTGCTCATTTTTCTTTGATATAAGCGATGTTTCTTAGACACTATTCTTTATTCAATCATCTGTCAAAGTAAAATCTACTGATATTTTTCTTTCTTTATAAAAGGAAAATTTAAGCATTCTTTGATACAAGCGCTTTCTTCATGGTTTTGTTGAAGTTTAAAAAAAAAATATTTTACATATTATTTATGTAAACAACAAAATGTGTTTTTTCCTTAACGTAAGCGGTGGAGGATATATATTTCTTTGATTGAAGCAGAGGAGAAAGGTTTATCTTTGATATAAGAATCATGCTCCTGGTTTATGTGGTATTTTTGTTAGATACTAAGGAACTAGTTTCCTTTCATGTACAAAAATAAAATGATTATCTCTCATTGATGCAAGTATGTGTTAGATAAATTTTCTTTCGATGTCAAAAGTGCAAAATTACATTTTTATCTTTGATTTAAAAAAATGCATTTTGGTTAATATGAGTAGAGACATTTCTGGAAATGTGTTTAAGGGAAGGTGCAGAAAAAGTCTTATCCCTACTTGGCAAAATCAATATTTTAAAGACCAAACATTAGAATACTGATTATTGAGGAATAAGAGTGGATAAATTTTCAGCACCCGTTCATATATGTGTGCACACGTATGTACGTATGTAAACGAATAGGTGTGTGTGTGTGAAGTACATGAAACTCATTTTTACTTGTGTTTATTAGAAATGCTAAAATAAACAAAATCTGTTTCGAATATAACAATTCAAATGTATAAACATTAAATAATTGGTTTACATATAAGAAATAGTCAAACACGATATGCCATTAATCTTCATCTCTTTGCTTTTTATCATTTCTATCTTGATCCCTGATGAAGCTTTAATAAAATGAAACATGTTAGATTGAGATCTGTTTCCGACTTGTTCTTTATTCTATCCTATAATTTTTAACGGATGCTGCTTTAATTCATGGCTCTTCGTAAGAATTGATGGCGACCGGTATAGCATTATCATAATTATTGACCGATTTTATCATTGTGATATTTTTGCATTATATCAAGTATTAAGAATATAGTAACTAGGGTCCGCAAATTGGTGTAGAGAGTTATCAATGATAATGTTCTGATTTCGAATCCGCGTTTATTTCGCTTTAAAACTCTCTCTGTTAACCTGTGAAAAGAGAATGTCATGGAGGAATGTGAAATAAATTGTTAGTAAGGAACATGAACAAAACGCAGACTGTTATTGAAGGATACTGACATGAATAAATTCTGTTTGGCTCTGAATGTAGAAGGGCTTACTCGAATTGGTTCGCAAACAGTGCGGCAGAAGATGATAGCCGGTGAGGCGGAAGAGGAGAGCAGGTGAGGCTGAAGAGGATAGCAGGTGAGGCTGAAGAGGATAGCTGGTGAGGCTGAAGAGGATAACAGGTGAGGCGGAAGAGGATAACAGGTGAGGCGGAAGAGGATAGCAGGTGCGGCAGAAGAGGACAGCAGGTGAGGCGGAAGAGGATAGCAGGTGAGACTGAAGAGGATAGCAGGTGAGGCTGAAGAGGACAGCAGGTGAACCTGAAGAGGATAGCAGGTGAGGCGGAAGAGGATAGCAGGTGAGGCGGAATGATTGAAAGACAAAGATTTAGAAACAGTTTCCAAAAATTCATATGCCAAAAATAAATATGATCTCAAAATTTAAAATATTATTATGAATTAGTTGTAATTGCATGCATGAATCCCAGTATAAATAGTTAAAAATAATTATTGACTGATTTTATCATTGTATTATTTTTGCATTATATCAAGTATTCAGAATATAATAACTAGAGTCTACAAATTAGAGGAGAGATTTATCAATGATAATGTTCTGATTTCGAATCAGCGGTTATCTCCCTTTAACCCTTTCTCTCACTGCGCGCACGCGCGCGTGTGTTTAAATGTACTTTTTATCAAATAAAATTTGGTGACGCACGAGCAAATTTTCACTCCGAATATGCAGCCCAGAGAAAAAAAAGTTTGGGAACTACTGATTAGTTGCATTATATAAGTAGTATAATGCGTTAAAAATCTCTTTCTCTGCCGTGCACCAATAGCCTAGAGGTAAGAGCCTCTGACTGACGCCGGCTTGAAGCAGTCGGATCTCTAGCCACACTGACGAGCTGTGATGGAGCAAAACATATATATATAGAGAGAGAGACAGCGGACCGATTCACAGTGTACCACAAGGTGTGCAAACGACACTCCTCAGGGTTTGAATTCAGAGTTGTTGTCCTAGACTGGCTACCAGAAAAGGATAAAGAGCCAAGTCTACTCTACTATTTACCCCTTGACTACGGGAAGAAAAAGAGATCGATTCATAGATTTCTCAAGAGTATTTGTGCATGAGTGAATATAATGAATTTTACTGAGAGATAGAGATAGAGAAACAGACATCTATTTATCTATCTTACTCTGTACATATCTATCTATCTATCTATCTATCTATCTATCTATCTATCTATCTATCTATCTGTCTATACCCGACTGTTCATATTGATATATCTATGTTTCATTCTATCCACATCTATCTATCTGTATGTCTGTCTCATTTTGTTCATTCTTAACTATTTGTTTCAGATGATCTATCTATCTATCTATCTATCTATCTATCTATCTATCTATCTATCTATCTATCTATCCCCGACTGTTCATATTTATATATCTATTTCTCACTCTATCTATCTATCTATCTATCTATCTATCTATCTAAAGATGAGCTTACCCATAATCCACTAAAATATCTTTTAAAGGGATAAAATCTGTCTGATTAATAAATAAAAAAAAAACATTCCTTCTTTAGAATTTGCTTTGTTTAAGCACGATACTGAACAGATACTGAATACGATACTGAACAGATCCGATCATTCGAGAATCTGAGAAAAGATTTGCGTCTATACAGCTTCGCTTGATCGGCGATGCACTCCGTGGCTGAGTCGGTCTAGAACAAGTTGGATCTAACGACGGTTTCTCCTGCAAAGGGGAACAGAGTTTCGAACCCTAGGGAGAAGCACACATTTTCCTTTAATAAGTTTTCTCGAATATTCAGACCGGCAAACGAAAATAAATAAAACACACAAACACCTGAATTATGAGTGACGGATTTGGTTTTTATCTTATTTTACTTATTTATTTTAAAATCTCACAGTTTACCCAGCAAACATGTTGACTTGGCTAAAAATGCCGAAAAAGAAAATAAAATGTGAAAAAAAAAGTAAATCGTTTATGTATTAATGGAAATCCATTGTCAATGAATCTAAAAACAAAGCCTTTTAACAGCGACACTCAGTCGCTCACGAAAACGAGAATTGGAAGAAAAAAAAAGCAAATGAAAAGTGGCAGATGAGAATCCTGACTGAAAGAAAAAAAATACTGGTAGCCTAATGATTAACAGTATCCCCTATGAGAAGAGGTATGGGACGCAAGATCAAATTGCGTCTCCCGCAGTTTAATTTCACAACAGAAAACTGGTCCAGTTTAAGGAAAACAACATTGAAATAAGAAATGTATCGATAAATACATCATAGAAAAAAAAATCGTTTCATCTCAAAACAACTCATGAATTTAATTACTACTCCATTTCAAAACCACATGGTAATTGTTTTTGCCAAATAAAATGAGGATAGTAATTTTTTTAATTACGTCAAAACTTGAGCTCACTGAAGCAAAAGTCATTTTTAAAAGCATTGACAAGTTAAAATAAGGATTATGAACTGCTTGTAAATTTAAAAAAAACTAAGATATTTATACAAAGTATATTAAGCACTCGACAACAAGAAGGCTTGATTAAAAATGTATTTTAAAAATAACGATAATTTCATGAATTCTACAAGCATTCCTGGCAGGATTTGAGGTATTTTGTCTGTTAAGGCATCGTGACCTGAACAATCAGTCAAATTCATTGGCTAGTACTCAATCCCGTTAGAAAGGCACTTATAACTTAAATGAATTAACGAAAGCTAATTGCCTAATTTAGATCACAACAGCGTGACTGCAATAACTTCATATAAGTAGAAAAACGGTTTGAAATGGCAGTAATAACGTTTCTGCATTGGTTGATATACGATAAAAAGATCGGATTCGAAGTCCAATTCCTTATCTCTCGTAGAACGATTTCCAGAATTTCCTTGTTTGCTGAACAATGAATCTCATTTGCGTTTCACTTATAAATAAGTGTCACCAAAAGTTAACAATTTAAATAATAATGCTAACTTCTAACGTCTCCGCCTATACTGTTTTACCACAACAGGAGTAGATAGGTTCGCCTATCATCCGGTTCACTCTCCTCTCCAGTATTTTGAACAGGAGTAGAGTCGTATCTCTTGTCTTCTGTTTCCCGTTCATTTAAAAACATAGTTCAACACTATATTTTTAAAGGTCTTTGCGTAAACTATGAAATTTTAATTAGTATATATATATATATATATAAGTGGACATTGAATCTAACACTTAGATGCGACAGTCTGTTTCATGCTAGGCACAATCGTCAGGCCACGAGTGCTGTTTTTTCTCGGCTCTCGTGGCCTGACAACTGTGTCTAGCATGAAACAGACTGTCGTCTCTAATGTTCACTTTATGTTCACTAATAATAATACACTCTATCTCTGATATTGATCACTTTATCCCATAAATATAGCACACCTTAAGACTATATTTCTTCATATATATATATATATATATATATATATGTATCATCATCATCACCTGGATTTTATTCTCTTGGAAATATATATATATATATATATATGTATATATATATATATATATATTGATAATATAAGTGGTCTATATATATATATATATATATATATATATATATATATATATATATATATATATATATTTCAAGAGAATAAAATCCAGGTAGATATCTATGTACAAAGACAGAGCAAGAATATAATATAAAAGGGACAAACACTAATATTCCATGGTTATAATTTATTACATTGTAATCACGATCCAATTGAATCGGGTCGTGATTACGATTACAATGTAAAAAAATTAGAACCATGGAATATTAGAGTGTTGGCCTTACACACACACACACACACACACACACACACACATATATATATATATATATATATATATATATATATATATATATATATATATGTATATGTGTGTGTGAATTTTCCTCAAAAGGAGTAGATAGATCCGTCTGTTGTCCGGTTCACAAACCTCAGTATTTTGATTTTTTGCCAGAGTCTGTCGGCTCGAAATCGATCCACATAAAACCCGACCTTGTGCCACATGCGGCCTTGTGGGGATGTTGGTATATTCGTGTCGTACCTACATCAGGCAGTCCGCTGTCAGGTGTGCGCCAGACTTTTCGAACGCTCTGCCTTCGGGTAGCGAGGAACCCAGACGAGACTATGCCTAAGGGCAGAGTCTCGTCTGGGGAATTGTCCCACATAAAAACCGACCTTGTGCCACACTTCTCTTTGTGGGGATGACTGGGCAAGTACCAGTTGCATCTACGCCAGGCAGTTCACTGCAGGGCTCGCGACACACTTATCGAAACCAGACGAGGCTATGTCTACGGGCAGAGTCTCGTCTGGGGAGTTAAATAAACCCGATCCAGTGTATGCGGGGTCTAAGAGGAATTCTTGCCCGAGCCTACAGACTCGGAATCGCCCCACATAAAAACCGGCCTTGTGCCACATTAACCCTTGTTGGGAGGATTGTTTAAATTCCAGTTGTTTTGGTGTCAGTCTACATACTAACTATACAGGCGTTACGGAAAGTAACCTAAACGTTACGTATAGAGAATACTTATACGAATTACGCTATACCAATTCGAGTGTATGTTATAACAATAACCCTACAATAGGAAGTTATAATATAATCTCTCCGAGAGGACGTTGTGGAGAGCCATGTTCCTCCACGTACTGAAGGGACATGGCAAAAAGTAAAATAAGAGTTAAGGGATGCTTTTGAAATGTTATCTTGATTAGTACTTCATAATTTCATGTTTGTACATTGACTATTACATCCTTGCGCTAATTAATTGAAACAAACCCTATCATTCCAGTGGGTCTAAAACTGACTGTGTGGTCAGTTTTAGACCCACTGGAGTGATAGGGTGTAATCGATTTCTATTTTTTCTCAGATTAGGTTATTTGCAGTAATGTGCATGAAATATGTTGCGTCATCCATGATTGCATCAGATTTTTATCACGCCCAGATACTATTGTCTCGACAGTCGATTAGTTGTCCTACGCTCATTGTCTGCGATGGACGTTACTCCAATGAAGAGTACGAAAATTGTAACGCTGCACAAACACACTGTCAAGCCATACCAGTGAGCAAATCAAAGTACTATAGACTGGTCCGAAATTCTGATTTAAATCCAATCGAGAATCTGTGGTCAATCTGCAAGGAACGAATGTTTGGAATGGACATATGAAGTACTAACATGTGCACTGGGCCATGTGTCACTGGAAAAATACGAAAAAAAAAGTAAATAATAACGGAATTATTCGTTTTGTTTCAATTAATTTGCACAAGGGTGTATATTTACGTTGAGTTAATCAATTAATTTGCACAAGGGTGTAATTTTCCTCTTTTTGGTATACACTGTTTGTTTGAAATACTATATTTGGGGAAATAATTTTATTAATGGATTTCAAAGTGAGGTGGAACGACTACATCGAATCATACAGATGACAATGATGATGATTAAGACAAGCATAAAAACATTTAATGGCCATAATGATGATAATGATGATGATAACTCAAATAAAATGCAAGTCTCTTTCATGGCTAAGATAACTGCATATTTCCCACAAGGGGTAGAGGTCAGTTTTCCACCAGGGGTAAAGATCAGTGTTGAAGCTCACCTTAAATGTTAGACTTCCAAAGATAAACAAGTTGTTCTTCATAGTTAAATGTCCAAAAGCAAAGAGTGATTTACCTCAGTGGCCAAAATGTTACTCTATTGCATGCCTTTTCTTGTTTTTCTTTTAAATAAAGAAAAAAAAAGAAAAGAAAAAAAAGTCCTCTCCATTGAACAGGGGCTGGTATTACAGGTCAGTGAATATGCAAATCAATTTCACTCCTGGCCAATGTAAGCATAGTGAGTTGAGTAGATTGCTTTAAAACTGATAATTTTTCTGCCAGAGTTTAATAGTAATCTTTAGTAGTCTTCCGTTGGGGGACTGCTAGTGGGTGAAGCGGACCTTATGGAATTTTTGTTCATTTTATTACACTTGATGATTTTGAAATCAAGACAAATCCCCTATCTATGCAAAACATCAATCACTCTCTCTCTCTCACTCTCTCTCTCTCTCTCATATATACTAATACACATACAAAGATGGGCCAATAAGTCTGTAGTTTGATGGGGTTTATAGCTGAATTTTGATTTGGAATTTTAATAGTGTAGTGGTTGATGTATGACTGTCACTTCTGTGTGGGCCTGTACAGCCATAACAGGTGCTGCACCGTCATCAGCAGCTGAGCTATAACTTTCTGGGCTCAAATCCAAGGTTTCTCGAGACCTACGGATGCCACATATTATTGTAAATAATTTTATATGATATATTGTTTAAAAAAGCACTGTTCAAAAATTCTCCTCCTTTAATTTCTATGTTTTGATTTTTCACCGATATAAACCATTCGACGAAATGAAGATTCGACTTAACGCTTTTGCTGAAGCCAGTTATCGGGCAAATGAACGGAGTCCTGATAATATTACCAAACGTTTTTTTCTGTTATAGGTTTGAAAATCTGAATGTTAAACGTATCCTGATAAGTTTATTATTGCTAATATAATGTTCTTTTACTTCAGGTTAAAGAGAGAGTTGGCGTTGTGGACATTTTGATAAACAATGCTGGAATCGTGACTGGAATGAATTTGCTCGACTGTCCGGATCAGGCGATTATTCAGACGATACAAGTGAATATACTTGCCCATTTCTGGGTAAGTATTTCTTGTGGCAATGTTTTATTCATGTTCTGTGGACGCAGAGATTGAATACAGTACTCAAAAATCAAATATATTTATTCATTTTTATCATCATGTTGCACTATATCCACCTAAACTCAAGTGTCATACTCCTTTTTCATTTTTTTTGTTTTAAATTTCAGTCATTATTATTTTTTTTTTTTAGGATAGTCTCACGATTGACCGGTCGGCTGAGGGAAGGGTGGTTTTATCGAGACACCATTTACAGACTTATTGCTAATAAAAGCTAAAGAGCGATCTGCCCATTAGATTAGGACTTTTGATTTCATGCTTGACCTGTGCGCGCCCGTGGGTGACGCGGCTGCCGAGGAATGGGTGATTTAATCGAGAAACCATCTTAACATAGATTAGCAACCAAAGATAAATAGGGATCTGTCCATTTGTGGGTGACTTGTGATTTCGTACATGGCCTGTAGATCCCCGTGGGTTGCAAGGCTCCTGTGGAATGGGTGCTTTAATCGTGACATCATCTCAAGATAGATTGCCAATCAACGCTAAATATGTATCTGTCCATTGGTGGCCGACTTGTAATGTACTTGGCCTATAGATCTCCGGCCAGGCTGCTACGGAATGGGTGCTACGGGACTATTTAAGACCATAACGAGTTTTCGAGTTAATGTTAAGTCTCCACATTACGAGACTATTTCAGAACATAATGAGTTTTCGGGTTAATGTTAAGTCTCGACTTTACGAGACTATTTAAGAACATAACGAGTTTTCGAGTTAATGTTAAATCTCGACCTTAAGAGACTATTTGAGAACATAACGAGTTTTCGGGTTAATGTTAAGTGTCGACATTACGAGACTATTTAAGGACATAATGAGTTTCCGGGTTAATTTTAAGTCTCGACATTACGAGACTATTTAATGATATAATGAGTTTTCGGGTTAATTTTAAGTCTCGACATTACGAGACTAAGGACATAATGAGTTTTCGGGTTAATTTCAAGTCTCGACATTACGAGACTAAGGACATAATGAGTTTTCGGGTTAATTTCAAGTCTCGACATTACGAGACTAAGGACATAATTAGTTTTCGGGTTAATGTTAAGTCTCGACATTACGAGACTATTTAAGGACATAATGAGTTTTCGAGGTTAATGTTAAGTCTCGACATTACGAGACTATTTAAGAAACGTATTTTCGGGTTAGTGTTATGTCTCGAAATTACGAGACTAAGTAATGACTCCAGTTTTCAGGATGATGTTTTGGTTTCTGTTGAATGTGCGTCGTTGGAATCATTTCTTCAGACATCATAAGAAGGCTGAAGAATTATTGACCGCAACATTGTATTAAGAACAAGAAAACTGAAGACACTAGTTTGCAAAACACAAGAAACAATGAAGTGTCTTCAGAAAACAGTCACTCCAATGAAATCTGTACGGACGGGATTTACATTTAACGTATGAGTTGTTATAGCTTCGCGTTTTATCATGTTAAGATGTAGGTAATTAATAGATTGATAAATGCTATATTCCAAGTAGATCCTGTCAAAACACAAAAGACTGCTTGGCGTACGCTCCAAAGAAAACCTGAACAAAAGCGAATCATTTTATTCTTTGTTGCGAATCTCTTTCACTCACCGGCGCCATCATTCTATCGCCCTTAAGCCTAGCATAAAACTAATCATTTTGTCTGCAATAGCTTCCCAAAGTAAGGCTGTCACTGCACATTCCAGTCCCTTCAAGTCACGTTAGCCTAGAAATCAAGTGTGGAGACACATCAAATAGATCCAGCTCTATTTAATGACAAATGTTGACATCAGCGGTTGACTTCCTAAAGGTCAGTGTTATCCAGCCTTGGAGTTCATGAGTGGCGGTGGGAGGATGGTGAAGCCTCAATATTCTGTCTGATTAGCTTTACTTTACCCTCCTGACCTTATCAGTTTATGTTTAAGCCACAGCAGAAGGTCACTATTAAACAAATTGTTTCATCGTTGAATAAAACCATATTGAGACAAAGCTCTTTTTAACTGTTGATTATTAACCTTTTAAACATGTTAAGTTTCTTTCCAATTCTCATATGAATTATTTATCATTGGTAGAATTCCATCTAGGAAGGATTTCTCATTAATGTTACGAATTGCTTCTTCATTCCATAGCTGCAACGTTGCAGTATTGCATATCGTCAGGCATTAAAAATATCAAAGTGAAATAGATTTAAGTGCGTTTCAACAGTTGGAGCTGTATTGAGCAACATAGTAAAGGGTGTTTCATTAGGACGGATCAAAGTCAGCAGTAAGTAAATCCGTGTTATTCGTGAAAATTTATTTATTTATTTATTGGATCATGTTATTTAAGTCATGGAAATTACGTATGAAAAATAAAATCGTCCAAATGTCCGCCGTGGATTTGTCGGCACACCTTCACACGATGGTCAAATGTTTTGATGACGTCTCTGCATAGTTGTTCCTCGATCTCACCAATATACCTTATTATATAATCCTTCAGCTGTTGAATTGTTATTGGCTTGTTGGCATAGATCTTACTTTTGAGATGACCTCAAAGGAAGAAATCTAAAGGCGTCAAGTCGCACGATCGTCGTTGCCGATTGACTGTTTCGAGAGATGATGCAACTTGGGAACTTCTCATTGCATTTCTGTTTGAACGTCCAATAGGCTTCGATAACTTTACCACGTTGTTGGATTGTTACTCTTTCCATAGTTGAAATTGCCAATGACTTAAGTTGTTAAATCTGAAAGCAAAAGAAAAAAAATCATTAGACGCTTAAACTTAATTCACATTTAAAATCGGTCCAAGTTATTGGAACATCCTTTAGTTCTTGAAACAACTTTGTTGGGTTGGTTGGTTTTACATAGCAAAACTTCCTGTATTGTTTCATGCTTCTGGTCATTTTTTGTAGCTTGTTTTTGTTTAGCGCCATATCAACCTCTATGATTTATTTAATGCAGAAATCTAAATATTTTAAAACCATTCTTTTAAGCATTTCACCCCCAAGCAATGTGGGGGGGGGTGCTACTAGTACGCAAGGGATTACAGAAAATGAAAGTAAGAGAACAGACTGGGTATAGGGGGGGAGTAAATGATAAAAAGAAGAACGGAGATCAAGGCATTAGAAGATGTCGATTGGCATTACATTTAAATTTTTGAAGATTATAGTTATCAAGTAAGCAAGTGAAATGAAGGGAGTGTTACTGTCAGGAAGTGCAAGAGAAAAGTAGAAGAGGCGGTTACATTTAATTGTTTCAACAGTAAAAGGGTGGGACCGAGATGCCAACCTAGTAGCTTGCTTAAATTCATACAGTCAGGGCACCATTGAAGATAGCTCGTCAGAGAAGTTGCTATGAAAATAATTTTAGAAAAGGAGCCACATCACGCCTGTTTGAAAGTGACTGGAGTCAAGATGCCAGATCAGGACCTATCACATTGCATAACCGTCTTTGGATTTTGTCGAGAACTTCGAGATGAACAGCAAGGGCGCCAGACTAAATATGACAACAGTATTCAACGCATGGACGAATGGTAGATTTGTAGATGTGAAGGATGGACTTAGACGAGAAAAAACTTTTTACTACGACAGATAGAACCAACTTTCCTTGCAGTAGATGCAGCAATTGATTCAATGTAGTTGTTCCGCTGCAGAACAGTGGAAAACGTGAGACCAAGGAGGCGCAGCGAGATGCTCTCGTGAAGTTGAGCATCAGCCATGCTGATTGGAGGCAGGGAGTTTTTTTTTGTATGGTGATTAAATGAGAGCAGTTTCGTTTTGAAGGCATTAAAATTTACAAGCAATTCCCAGTCCCAGTCAACCACAGATTGGGGGTCCTTTATTAGACCAACGGCTAGGTTTTCATTTTATTTTTGGATATAATAATGGTTTAGTGATTCACGTCTTACTAATTAACCCATAGCTGGGGAGATGAAGAGATGAATTCATACCTTTCTCAATGGTATTTGCGCGTAAGTAAATATAACGAACTCAACTGGAATTGGAACTCGGCCTCCGATTAACACTTCCAAGCTATTCTCCTTTAAACCACCCACACATCTAGGTACAGACTAGGGTCGACGTTGCTTAACTTCGGTGATCATGCAGGAACCCGTGTTTCAACGTGATATGACCGTAAGCCTACAGCCGATGTCTTCATTTCTCTGAAAATCATGCAAATCATGTTTTATAATTCCTATATTTCTCAAATCATTCTCTTAATTTTTGTTGTTTTTTACACTTTTCAGCCGATATATTCTTCTACCTTCTTATAATGTGGCCGTAAACTCAGTTCTTGCATATGAAGATATCTTCAGTTATTTATTTGGTTCCATGATAGGTAAATATTGGTCGTTTATATAGGAGTTTATTTGAGTTTTACTTGTTTCGGAGACAGGTAAATATTGGTTGTGTATATTTATGTCTATTATTTAAGCGTGCTACTCGATTGGCAAGTAGGTCTCATCGTTTTAACGTTGCATTCTCTGTAACCCCTTGTGTGCTAGTGGTTAGTCCTCTCTTCTACACCAATATCTTCATGTCTCGCACTTCCCGTCTGTGAAACTCCCTTCCTCTTACTTGCTTCCCTGACAGTATAGTCGTCCAATATTCAAATGTAATGTCACTCGACATGATTCATTAATTTAATTCCCCGTTCTTCTTCTTATCCTTTCCTCTGTCACGTCTCTTTATTCTTGCTCCCACTCTCTGTAACCCCTTGCGTGCTAGTGGCACTCCCGCCTTGCTTGGGGTGACATGCTTAATATATATATATATATATATATATATAAAAGTGAACATTGAAGTCAACAACCAGAGTCGACAGGCTGTTTCATGCTAAGCACAATCGTCAAGTCGCCTAACATGAAACAGCCTGTTGCCTCTGAGTGTTGACTTCAATGTTCACTTTTATATTTATATTTACATACGCCCTATCTCTGATATTGAGAACTTTATCCCATAAATATAGCACACCTTAAAACTATCTATCTATCTATCTATCTATCTATCTATAATTAACGGATTTTTAAGTTTAACTGAAAACGTAAATATTGCTTAAAAGTAATATAACAATTTGACATACATTTAAAATATTGTTATTTTTTTTATAAAACACCTAATGTATATAGATGTTTATATACCTACATTATATATGTTCCAAAGTTTGTCATAGCTGGGGGTGATAGTGGGGACGCTGTCTATAAAATGGTCCCGTGGCATTCGTCTCAAATAGCTTTTAATAACTAAGTCTAACACCAAGTCGGAGAATGGACGAAGGTGGAAAACTGGCGCCTCATGACCAGCTCCTTCAGGTAGATGGAGCTCGACCGTCCAGGGAGGCAGTCCATTTAGGGGAAGAAAAATCCTGAGTTTAAACTTCCGCTGCTTTGCGGTCATATCCAAAACAATGAAAATGCTATGGAAGTAAATCCAGACAAAACCCGGAATCGAACCCTGAAGGCTGTTGGCTGACAACACAGACAACTTTCCGGCAACTTCTGCAGCCAGCCCGTCCCCAAATGTGATGCCTTGTATTCTTTTGGATCTTTTCGATACGGCCAAGATGAGGGACATTTAGTTTGGGTAGCGGTCAGCCTCCATATACGAAACCCCCATTCTGTGGAAAGTGCTTGATTCGAGGAAGTGTTTGTGTAGGAGTTTGATGAATATTTTTCCTACGTTTGTTTTTTCGTTTTTGTTTTACGGTGGGTTGAACCAAAAAATGTTTTCATTCCTGTTGGCTTTTTTGTTCTCTGGTGTGTATGTAGGTGTTTCCGGTAATCCACTATCTTTTAGGACTGTTTCGGAGTCTTTCTAAGCTTCGTTAAATATGGTTTTATTGAAAGAATTGTCGGAGAGCCTGCGGTTAATTGATTTTAGTATCTGCTTGATTATTGATGGTGGATGATTGGATGATGTGTGTATATACAATGGTTTATCATTGCATGATTTTCGGGAGTTTGTCAAATAGTAGCGATTTTTGGAACTCCAGAAAATCACTAGTATTCGACAACGAAGACGCATGGATAAAGAAAGAAGGGACCTTTGGGAAGCTTTGACGGTGCAGAGATCTGCTAACTCATAGGTATATAGTTACTACGCGAACTAAGTAAAATAATAAATAGAAATTATATAGGACTATACAGTGACGATAGTCTCATAATCTTAATAATCTATAACAAAATACAGACAAAAGTATAAAAGCAATAATAAAGAATTACAAAAATATGCGATTCGACATAGACATAAAAACTAACCTAAACGAAGTAGATTTTCTAGATTTCAGTTTCAACCTAAGAAAATGTACATATAAACTATAGAGAAAGCCCAAATATAAACCCATTTTCCAATCACCCGCCATCTATAATCAAGGATTATTTTTATTACGTTACTTAAAAATCGAAGACTTTAAAGAATAACGTAGGGTACACGAGATAGAATTCAGTTCACCGTTGTTCGGGTCGGCCTCTTTCAGGTTTTCAGCGCAGTAGCTTTATGCGTGTGGATGTGAATGGGCTCTTGACTTCTGGGCGTCTCATGTCGAAATTTTGCACACTGTCCCACAGTTGTCACACACACACACACACACACACACACACACACACACACATATATATATATATATATATATATATATATATATATATATATATATATATGGACAAAGTCCGACAATTCTCGGATATTCAGGAGGCCGGTAAATGTTATTAATACTGTTTATTATAAACAGAGCTTTTACTTAAATATTTGTATCTTTAAAAAGAACGTATAAACATAAAAAAAAAATGTCTTAAATAATTGTCGGATTTTGTCCATTTCATAATGTATGACGTCATTTGTTTACATTGGATACGCCATGAGCAGATATGAATGTACGTGAGAAAATCATGGAAGATTGTAGTGTAAAGACAGTAAAATCGACCTCGCTAACCGAACGCTCCTCTATGGCCGAAGCGGTCAAGGCACGTCAGGGTAATGACGGTTCTGTATAGGATACAGGTTCGATTCCTGTCGGAGGACGCATATTTTCTATGAAAATTTCTCGGACATTCAGGCTGGTTACCGTTATTAATACTGTTTATTATAAACAGAGCATTTACTTAAATATTTGTATCTATAAAAAGAACATATAAACATAAAAAAAATTTCTCATATATATATATATATATATATATATATATATATAAAGTAGCATATTATACTTAAGGATATATATATATTTGTGTATGTGCATGTATATTGGATGTATTTGAGCAACAAGGTATCGTTTATACCGTTTGTTCAATGTCTTCTGAAAGATTTTGTCTGCTATAAGCCATTACAAAGAATTTTTGAGGGTTAATAAGGTTGTGTCTATAGTTTCTTTGATTGTTTTCACGTATCACGTAATCACGCGTCAGCTTGTCATATCTTGTTATTTTATTTTATTTATTTTTTGAAATGTATATTTTTCTGAATTGAATTTCATTGATACTAGGTTATCCGTTCTTTATGCTGAAGCTTTTAATATTTGTTTTTACTGTTGTTTAAGCAGCATATCTGTCTGTCTGTCTGTCTGTCTGTCTGTCTCTCTCTCTCTCTCTCTATATATATATATATATATATACCATAAGTTGCAAACATAGACGAATTTATTCGCAATATGTAGTATGTATGTGCGTATATATTGTGAAATGCCTTTTTAATGTTAAGAAAATGGGTGTGTTAAGTATATCATTACAAAAATGACTATAGAACTGTTTATTGTCCATGAGTCAGCTTTTTAAAGATGACCCTAGGACCCCCACCTACCCGTTGAAAAGATTAGGTGTCTTTGACATCATATATTTTATTCAATGCCTGTTACCATACTACTCGTTATTTCCGGGATCGGCGAATATATACCATTAACCATTCAGTATTGACGCAACATGCGTTAAAACTAACCCCACCCACCCAGAAAAGAGCATATTTATTTCGACGTTATTTTAACAATATGTTTCAGAAATAGGTAAAATAATATTTTTTCATAGTAGTTTCACTGTTAGTAGTATGAGATGAAAAGCCCTATCAATTCATCAGTTACCTCGTAGATCCCTTGTGAAACCACAAACAAGTAGGCTTTATTTATTTATTTTTAATCGGATTTATCCCAAGCAAGGCCTCAACGGGAGCAACGGGACTCGGTGATGAAGAAGTGCCGCTACTCAACTTCTGTGCTACTCATCCAAGTATACGTAACCAAACGTATACGTAAGCCCACGTCTTATTTTCCCAGGCCGCTCCCTCTGGGGCATTAGAAGCTGGATCAAGCAAAGACATACAAGTGATAGAAATTGGGGTGGGGGGATAATCATTTAAAGTAATTCGTCGAGCACTGGACGGCCGTTTCGTCCTATCTGGGTCACATCAGTAATGCGCATCCACTACTGAGAATTAAACCCGGACCGTTACGATACGACGCAAGCGTCATACCAGTGGACCAACCGACCTTGGTGTCCAAGAAGAAACTGACTAGACTCGATATAGTGCAGCTACTTACTAAATTTCGTGGTTATACTCATCCAAGTATACGTAACCCAACGGCTTGTACCCCAAAAGCCACGTCTTCTTTCCCCAAGCCACCCCCTCTAGAGCATTAGAAGCTGGATCAAGCAAGGATATATAAGTGATAGAAATTTTGGTGGGGGTAATTTGAATAATCTTTTAAAAATAATTCATCCAGTCTAGAAGAATCCTTAACAGAATGCAGAAAATATTGCTCAGTAGATTCCTATATGATGTCATTTCACTAACAAGTAGGCTTTCTTTTATTTTTAATTTTTTAATCGGGTTTTTCCCAAGCAAGGCAGTAAAGACACTAAGACACAAAGGGTTAGTGGGCGTGAAAGAATTAAAAACAGAAAATATTACCAAGGTTGGTTGGTTGGTAGTTTTTGTTTAGCGGCATATAAACACCTCTATGAGTTATTTAATGCCGAAATTTAGATATTTTGTACGCAGTTTTATTTTTTGGGGATGATAATGGTTTTAATAATACAAATTTTACTAATTAATCCATAGCTGAGGGGAGAAGAGATTGATTTATACGTTTCCCAAAGGTATTTGCGAGTAAATGATTCTAACGAACCAAGCTGAAACTGGAACTCGACTCTCCGATTAACAATTCCGAGCATTACACCACCCGCACATCCAAGCTTACAACACCTGTTATTCCCAAGCGGTTACTCTTCTAGGTACTGACCAGGCTCGATATTGCTTAACTTCGGTGATCGTACAGGGACCGATGTTTCAACGTGAGCTTATTACTAAGGAGTGAGAGCAATAGAAGAGCATTGTAACCTAGGGAAGATTACTGAATAGAATAATCAAACAAAGGTTGGTAATAAAAGATAATACTTAGGACAAGAACAACGCATATAAGATTCGCCAGCGACGCGTAGAATTTTTCAACTGCTAGAAGTGAGTCAAGTGAATTCCACAATTAATCTCCAACTGCAGGATATCTACCAACAGCTCCACGCGGTCAGATGTGTCACAAGGCCGAATTTAATGTGGGGTATTTGAGCCCTTAGGTCGGCCAAAAATTCTCCGTAGACCCCGTATAAAACGGGGTCTAGTAGCTGTTTCCCGAGACTAGATTCTGCCCTTCGACATAGCCACCTCTAGGGATCCTCTTTGCTCGGAGGCAGAGGGTTTGACCCGCGCAGCTGGAAATGAATCTCCAACTGAAGACCATCATACAGTACTTATTACTATATTTATATGAATGGGGACATACTCATTATCGTCCGTAGGCATGCTACAACAAAGAGTAATCAAGAAGACAGTAGATAACTGTTATGGTCCGGTTCCTTGTACCATGTTGATAGTGCAAGGTAGAACTAATAAAGAAGAACTCGAATACGGATATGGAATAACACAGATATATTACAAATATGAATATATACAGAGAGGTAGAAAAGTGTTAGTACGAACAATCAGGTTTAGTAGTAATTGTCTGACCGCGACTCTGTTTCGGACTGCCTCTGACTCGACTGACTGACTCGCTCGCTCTGACTGACTGACGGACTTTTGACGGACCTCACTCCAGACTTCAGACTGAACTCCCTGCTTCCTCTTGAGGCGCAGCATTTATTACGTATGGAATAGTCCATTATGTTATTATGGGTAAGGTCCCGTAACAATAACGATTGACATTGCATTTAAATTTTTCAAGATCAAAACGTAGTGAAATTTCTCGCCTGATTTTGAATTCAGAGTCGTCATTTTACTAGACTAGTTGCCAAGCAAGACTAAAGAGGCCAATCGTCACCTCTATTTAACCCTTAGCTGAGGGCGAAAAGATGAACACATCTCTTGCTTAAGGGTGTTTGTGTGGAAGAGAATGCAGCGGCTTGGCTGGAATTCGAACATCTCAACATCGTTAATTGCTACGCTAGACGCACATTATAAATCTTCATTCATTTCTGAATATGTTTTTTCATCCTAATTTCTGTTGCTTTTTATCGCAACTACCCAGATCTTTATTCTAGATTCGTTTGTAAACAGAAAAAAAGTTCTCAGAGACAACAAGGCTTCAGACTACTCGTGAATGTCACTAATGTCATGAGTTCATAGTAAATATAGGCTTCCCGATCAAAGGCAAATGCGAATACTTGTTTCGACAACGGTTTAACAATTTAGTGACAGTTTTTTGTTATCGTTTCACCCCAAGCAAAGCGATATTGCTACTAGAACGCAGGAGCTTACAGGAAGCGAAAGTGAAAGTGAAAGAGAGAATTGAAAATGATTTTTTTTTAAGCATTTCACCCCAAGCAAGGCGGGAAGCCACTAGGACGCAAGGGGTTACAGAAAGTTTAGAGCAAGACCAGATAGAAGAAAGGATGAGGGTAGTGGATAGATCAAGGCAACTGGAGATGTCGATTGACATTACACTTGAATAGCTGGAGATTATAGCTCACAGGGAAACAGGAATAGGGAAGGGAATTCCACAGGCGAGAGGTGCGAGACATGAAGCTATTAAAGTAGGAGAGACGGCTACATTTAGGAGTTTCAACAGTGAAAGGGTGAGAGCGGGATGCCAGCCTCGTATTGCGCTGGAACTCATGACGTCTGGGAACCAGCGAATGGAGCTCCTCGGAACAATTTCCATGAAAGTATTTGTAGAACAGACTAGTAGTACCTTTAATTCATGTCGTCGGGGTATCAGGGAAAAAAGCTCACTAGAGCAGTTGCCATGAAAATATCTATAGAAAAGACAGAAGGAAACCACATCACATCGGTAAGAAAATGACTGAAGTTGAGATGCCTGATCAGGAACGATTACATCACTTTGGAATCTGTCTATATTTCTGAGATGAGGTATTATGTACATTATTTACATTATTCGGACTATTGTCCTCATCTGTCCTCAAGGACACATGGCACAGTGGATAAAGTTGTTGGTTAGATCCAGTGACAGGACCCACAGAGTGTGAGTTCAATGCCCGGCTAAGACAGTGGTGAACTTTCAGAGGGAAATTAACAGGAGATAACTGATAACTGACATCCATTAAACATGGAACGTGGAACTAGAACAGTCTACCCCAGTGAGCGAAATAAAGGGTTCAGTTCGACAGTCCAACCACCTGAAAAAGCCCGAAACGTTGTAATAAATATGGCGAAAAAGATGAGGACAATAGTCCGAATAATGTAAATAATGTAATCCTTTGGATTTTGTCAAGAATCTGGAGATGTACAGCAGGAGCACCAGATCGTATATGGCAACAGTATTCAATGCATAGATAAATGGTAGATTTATAAATGTGTAAGATGGATTTTGTCGAGAAAAAATTTCTGGCACAACACAGTGAACCAACTTTCCTTGCAGTAGATGTAACAATTGATTCGATATAGTTGTTCTACTTTTTGTCTGGAAAACGTAACGACGAGTTTTCTATTTGTTTGTAAATTTGCCGAACATGATAAAAAAAAGTGTGACTGCATCATCAGTTTTTTTTCTAAATGTTATATCTTTCCAATAAGTAGGCAATGATGACTTTCCATATCTTCCTTTTATTTAATATGTTTGCATGACAATGTCTTTTTGGGTAAGGCAGTTGATTTCTTTTTGTCTTCTTTATAGTATTTGAAATCGAACTTCTCTTAGAATTACTGCTATCCAAGATACGGGAGCTGAGTCTACTCTTTAATCCATAGATGGGCGAGGTGGAAAAGAGTCGGATTCATATTTTCTCCTAGAGCATTAGTGCATGAATGTAAACACAGCTGACAAGACTGAAGTTTGAACTCGGTTTCTCGACAGCGTTTTCGTAACGGTCCATGTTGACAATACCCGGGACACTGTTTGGATGTCGTGTTGTTTTGCCACTGTTGCGCATATAATGCATCAGTCCAAGCCAGCGTCTGTACTACATGGCCGTCCTGATCCAGATCTACGGCTGTAGGAAAAATTTATTTGAGCGCTGTTGCCGATGTCGAAGCCCGAACAACGCCCACACGCGTCAACTGTCTGAAATGATTATACAGCAAATCAAACATTCACAGTTTCAAGCGACTCTGATTGAACAAAAGGCACATGCATGCATCTTTGTAATATAACATTTCTTTGTACTGGTCTCTTTCCTTACACTGAACCTTACAGCATGTACCACCGTCTAAAGCTAATTTACAAACGGGGAATTGTCACGAGCGTCATTATATTACAGGGTAGATGTGGCACAAGGCTGAGTTTAACGTGGGACATCCGAGCCAGTAGGTTCGGCCAAAAAATCCCCGTAGAACCCGCATAAACGAGATCTACTTCCCCGAACGAGACTCTGCCCTTCGGCATAGCCTCGTCCAGGTTCCTCTCTGCTTAGAGGCACAGAGTTCGACCATAAAGCTGAAAAAGATTTCAGCTAGTATATCTAACTACCCCCACAACGGTCGTATGTGGCACAAGGCCAAGTTTAACGTGGATTCTCCGAGCCCGTAAGCTCGTCTAAACTATTCTCTTTCGAACCCGTATAAACGGGTTCAGGGTTAGTCTACCTCCCCGAACGAGACCGCCCTTTGGCAGAGCCTCGTCCGGGTTCCTTTCAACCCGAAAGCAGAGAGTTCGACTGTGTAGCTGAAAAAGATTTCGGCTAGTCTGTGTAGTCCGTTGACTTACAGTCATATACTACCTATAGTGTAGTCACTTTTGGGGGTGAGAGGTTATTCCATTACATCAGTTTTTTTTTATACAGATAATATTTTTATAGAGATAATACACTACTAGCAACTAATAAAAATTCAGCGAATATTTTATACGGGTAATTTACAGATCTTTAAATATTTTTTTTCCGGTAGAATACGTTGCAATAGCTTTCTAATACTCATAATTCCGTATATCTCACTAAGATTTCTAATCGACCACCACTTTCTGTTCAGTTGCTCATCTCCCAACCAGCAACTGAAATCGCCCACTGGTGAGCGATAACGCCCAGGTTGGGAAGCCTTGTCATTCACGTTATTGCAATTTTATTTTCCGTTAGTGTATATAAAACTGATTCCATATTCTGCTTCCCAGTGGCAATTTTTTTAGGTACTTTCTCATGGCAAATCGGGTTGATTACCTTTTTAAAGCAGTCGGCAAGAAAGACGTAAATAAATCTATAATCTGGGTTATAAAATTTACAATAACTTTGTTAGTTAATTAGGTAAATGCCATTTATTACAAAATAAATTGCTTTGTCATATCTCCCAACAGAAGTCGTAAAATGTGTGTAAACATGTTCACATCGTGTGAACTGCAACTAATTCAGTCATTTGAACGCTCATCAAAATATATAAGACAACATTTCAATACATTTGTCGTTTTATAAAAGAAAAATTCATAGTTTTTTTTAAAAGCGTTCGTCTGGAAAACTTTTTTTAGTGTACATCTTTGTGGTTTTCTTTATGTCTAAATAAATGGATGAGTAAAAAAACAAACAAAAAAACAAAAAAAAAAAAAACACGCACGCCGTCTTTATCTTTTTCAAACTGAACCTGTCCTTAAAATATGCAAGCAATGTTCTTTGTTGCTTGAATTAGTGGTAAGATAAAAACACTTGTGAATAGCTGCAATTGTAAGTTGTGCCTTTTTCATCCAATTAAATTGATTTTATAATTAAGAATATATGTCGCAATAAAGATTAAACATGCCGCATTTCACGGCATATAATGTACGTTTTTAATCAATTTTAGCTGCTAAATTTATCCTAGCGTTTTAAGCAAGCTGTAGTTTTCTGGTAGCATTCAATGCAAACGTGGCTATTATTATATATATA